ATGAGTCTGTATTTTTCATGTTCGCAGTCACTTGCTTTAAATTATTTTCAGTGTGGAAAATACAGACTAACACACGTAATTGAAGAGGATGAATACTTTTACAGCCTTTTTGGAGAGGATGGGAACTCCATTTGCACAGACAGTGTGGAAGTGATACCTCACTCATTTTTTTGTTTCAAGTCCATATTAGAGTTTAGCTCAACAAGGGCTGTTGAAGGATCAGTCCATCATGGGGGGTCACTGGGAAAAAGAAGGGGTTTTCTCACCCACTGATTTGCCAAAAATAGATCTCCAAAATAGTCTCCAAACTGCTCCCACCCAACCCTGTCTTCTCGACAACATCGTTCAACACGAGGGCTCCAGAGATCCAACTTTTGATGGTGGGCCAAAAAGATGTGACGTTCAATACCTTGCAGAGAAGTTTTCAGCATGTTTATCCGGTGTAAGATATCAGACAGATATGCAAGCACTGCAACACCGTTTGTGTCCTCCACATGTCTCACCAGTGAGGTGAGACATTTCACGAGGTTTACTATTTTTACCGTGTCATCCAGGACCACAAGCAGCTCTTTGGACATCATCTTGGTTGCAAAGGCCTGACGATAGATATTGCAGTGTGACCAACAGTTTTAGTTAAACTGGTACAAGCCAAACCTTAATTTACTGTATATCTTATACCAATCCACATCATTAGCAGACATGACAAACACCTTCAGTCTTATCCATGGAAGAGGTCAAGATGTCCCAAAGTACCTCTGAAAAAAATGTATCTTCAACTTTTAACACGGGCCTTTTAAATGTTCGATCTCCTTTAAATAAATCCATCCATCCATCCATCCATTATCCACCGCTTATCCGGGGTCGGGTCGCGGGGGCAGCAGCCGGAGCAGGGAAACCCAGACTTCCCTCTCCCCGGCCACTTCAGCCAGCTCCTCCGGGGGTCTTAAATAAATCTTCTTTAATAAATTATATGATTTTAGACAATAATATTGACTCTCTTTTTTAGCTGAAACCTGGCTTGGTGTTGACGCACCAGATGTTCTCTCTGAGTCCTCACCACCTACTTTTGATTATTATTTTTTATAAGGGGATGTTGTAAGAAATTCGGTGGAACTGTATCAGTTGCTTTAAGCTGTATTTGAACAAAGACAGTCACCTTTTTCAAGCGTCGTTCTTTTGTTATTAGCAACCCGCCTGTTTTATGAGCTACACTTTATGGACCACCGAAGGCTCCTTCTTGTTTCTTCAAGAGATTTCTGACTTTTTAAAATTGAGACCCCACCAAATACAACAAGATTTTAATAAGTGGTGACTTGAACTTGCATATTGATAACAGCTGTTGAAACAGCTTATTCAATTCAATTCAATTTTATCTATATAGCGCCACATCACAACAACAGTTGTCTCACAGCGCTTTCCAAACAGAGCAGGTCAGACCCTACTCTGAAGTTAATTACCCAACAATTCCCACCATGAGCAAGCACTAGGCGACACAGGCAAGGAAAAACTTCCTTTTAACAGGCAGAAACCTCGAGCAGAACCATGGCTCAGGGTGGGCGGCCATCTGCCTCTTGCTGATATGCAAATCATTTTTTAAATTTCTTTATCACAGATTCCTAACAACGTGTCACACAGCCTACTTACAACAGAGCACACACCCTGGAGTTGGCCATGGCCTCTAGGGATGGGGATCGAAACCCGGTTCTATCGAGGACCCGGTTCCACTTTTTTCAAAACCCGAAAATAAATAACGTTTGGGCTTATCGATACCACTATCGAGTCTGGTCGTCTTTTTTTTTTCTCCCGGAGGTCCTATAACATAATTGTGTGTCATCATCCACTCAGAGTACCACTGGTAAGCGCACACACAGACTTTGTAGCTTGTCCGGTCAGTTAAAAATAGTAATTGTGAAATCCGTGTTGTAATCGGCAGCATACAAGCTAGTTAGCTTGAAAAGTAAATAAAGTTTCAGACGTGTTGCGTGATGATGTTTTCAGATTGGCTCAGTAAAGGTTATCATGATGCGTTCAAGTGTTACGTAAAGAAAAGGGAAATTTAGTTTTTGGCGATAAACATGAGTAATGCAGTTGTATATTGCTCTAATTATTTTAGAATATATAATTAAACTAATGATGCCAACATTTATTAAAAATTACATTTAATTTAAAATACAATTATTTCTTTGCTAAATATTTGACTAATCACTAAAAACATGATGAAAAGTGACAGTTGACAATACATTAACCAACAATTGTGAAAATGTATTCATTTTTTTAACCTCCTGAGACCCGAGCTTTTATTTGGCATGCATTTTAGCTTTTTTTTAAAAGATATATGAGATACATATTTAATAAAATGTTTTTACAATTTGGTCTGACAGTCCCATTGACTCATTTACAGTTTTTCTATTACACAATAAGAACATGATTGGATGGAAATGTATAAAACCATTTTACTTTAGATTTCAAACAGTGTCTGATAGCATCTGCTATGAGGTCAAGAGGTCAAAGCTGAAAGAAAAAAAGAAGTATCATGGTAAAGAGAGACAAAAATGCAACGTCCTCTTATGAGGACACAGGGTCTCAGGAGGTTAAACCAAAAGAAGACATTTCTTCAAAATATAGGACATTTCTTCAAATAATTTTTCCCCACTTCCTTGCTGTCTGAAAAAACATTTGGAGGACCTTGTTATGATTTGTTTTTAATTATAAGTGAAAATATATCTACCATTTCCGTTTCCCATCAATTTAGATGGTGTTCAGCTCACCATTGAAGGCTGGAAACATTTTTGTTATGCTCACTTGTTAAGCAATACAAGCAATACCAGTTCTGTTAAAAACATATTGTCGCATTGTCTTTCCACCAAATAACAGAAAAGTATCAATAGTGGTATCGATAAAGACTCGGATCGATAAGGAGTATTGATAAAGGTATCGATATCAATAAATATTAACGATCCCCATCCCTAATGGCCTCTGGCTTATATTCACTGGTGTGTCTGTTGATCTGGCTATGTTAGACCACTATTGTGTCTTTTTGTAATATCACCAGTTCTATCCAACAGGAGGCCCCAGTAAGAACTATGAGGAACGATACATTACTTCTCAGGTGGTTGCAAATGTTATTGATATGGTACTCCACACCCCTGTATAGTTTTTACCTGCTTCTTGTGATTTTTGTTGTCGATTTTAACAATACGTGGAAGCCATTGATGCTGCATCTCCACTTAAAAGGTGAAAATTATACCACCGTGGAGAAATGATAGACTCAAACAAATTGAAAAGAATTGCAGAGGAAATGGAGGAAAACAAAATTAAATATTCACAACCAAATATTTAAAACCATGCAATACAACAGCCAAGAACCCTCTATTTTAAAAACCTTATCACACAAAGAAAAAGTGATCTCAGATTCCTTTTAAAACAATAAAACTTTTAATAAACACAGACAAGTCCTCCAGGTCAGCATCAGATGCTGCATTGCAGGCTTTGCAGACCACCTCAGAAGTAAGATCAATGCTATTACCTCAACAAAATGCAGATTTTTAACAAACCTGAAGCATTTGTTTTACCAGAGGAAACACTAGAGTTTTGTCCTGGTTGATGCAAAGATGGTTAGTTAAGTTTTCTCCCAACTAACCTCCAACTCCATGACTTTTAAATCCGATTCCCATGTAGCTTTTAAATAACATTTATGGATTCTCTGAGTGTGAGCTCTTAAAAATGGTAAATTGCTCTCTTCAGACGGGTGTTATCCCATAAGCATGTAAAAACACGGTGTCATGAAGGTGGGTTTTGATGGAGGACTCAGGTGCGGAGATGACGGAAAACAAGGTTTATTGTAACAAAAAACAGAGTGAATGTCCAGACAAAGTACAAATCAAAGCTGTGGAAAACTGTGAGCAAAGTAACAAAGCAATAAGCAAACAAGACTGAGGCAAAACTAAGACTGTGACAAAGTAACAAAATAACAATTTACAAAACTGTGACTATGGCAAAGTAAAAGACTATGGCAAAAGCAAACCTGGCATGGGGGTGGCGAAAGACAGACGGACTAGACGGACAAGAACGCACTCGCACAAGACAAGGGGAAACGAGGACTATTTAAACACATGAGGGAGGGGAACCCCAGGTGTACACAATAGGTAATCAAGACAAGACGAGACACCAGACGTGACACACGGTAGTGAGGCTCGTTCTCAAGAAGACAAATTTAGATCCAAATGTTCTTGATACGTACCTACCTGTATCCAATTTACCATTTTTAAGTAAAATTCTAGAAATCTAACAAGTTTTTAAATAAAAACATTGTGTTTGAAAAAAGTCAGCCTAGTTTTAAAAAGAACCACAGTACAGAAACAGCCCTAACCATTTGCTATTGACCTAAGATGTAACCTGGTATCAGAAAGACTCTCAGTTCTGGTGCTAATTGATTTTAGTGCAGTGTTTGATACAGTATATGCTGAGATATTTGTTGTGTACCTCTGGTACTCTTCTTAAATTGTTTTTACTCCTATGTCACAGGTAGACAAGTTTTTTGTAAGTATTGATACATGCTCCTCAGGAATCCACTAAATAAAGTGTCGGGCTCTCCAAGAATCAAGGCCCATTACTTTTTAATCTGTACAAGTTGCCACTTGGGGATGTCATAAGGAGACAGGGTTAGTTCTCAGAATTATGCTGATGATAGACAGCTTTACATCGCTGTGTCTCCTGACGACCAAAAGCCAGTTAATGCCCATTTAAAATATGTTTTAGATATTAAGACATAGATGGCAGAGAACCAGGACTCAACTAATGTTTTAATTATCAGTCCTGAACGCAAGAGAGAGATTATTTTTCACAGTGACTTCAAATTCTTAATCTATCTCCATGTATAAAAAAAGCCGAGACACATAGTCCCTTGCATCCACTTCTCTGAGATATTCACTTAGCATGTGATGCTGATAAGAAGAGGATGCCCTAAGAGAATTGCTAATTTTCATAATTGTATTCATCACGTTAGCATGCTTTTCTGACAGCGAGGCACAGGAGGACCGATTGATGAATGATGCAGTAGTAAATTAGGAGATCAGGATTGGTATTCTTCTGTCTTGTTACAGCTCCCTTTTCTTCAGTTGTCATAGCAGGAGCTTCATCTGTGGTGTTAGAGATAACTTTTTTGGGGTTTGCAAGGCCTTTTTCATGCCTTCATGAAGCTTGGCTAGCACGTCCTCAGTACAAATTTCACTCCTTTGTAGCAAATGATGCTGACATGGGGATTTGCTTTATTTTCACAGAGTTCTTTCAGGGGAGATTGTACATTTTAGGGAGAATGTTTATATTAAAAATACAATAGCAAAAATATACAACAACTGGAAAGGCAAGTTATGGTGTTTTAAAGCATATCTTATAAACAGATATAAAAATCATTTTTTTTAAAAGTGAGTTGGATATTAGACGTGAAGAGTGGCCATCTTTTTCTTTTTTGGTTAAAAAGAACAGATTTTAAAAAGCCACAAAACACAAGATAGCAGCTGTGAGCAGAGAAGTCAGGTTATGAAAGATTTATAAGTAAATTACAGGATACAGCTATGCCCTAACACAGAGTAATCTACACGATAACACTTAATGAAAAACCTCACCAATTAGTGGAAGAGGGAACATGCAACATTTTACATCAACAACATTTACTGAAATGGCAGATTTTGTTTGAAACTCCAACAAAATCTTTTGTTAAAAAAACCCCCAACAGATTAAAATAACCACTTTTCTGCTTAAATTACACTTTAATTAATCTTTTGGGGTATCTCAATCAATTGTTTTTCTGTTTTGAAAATGTATGGCACACTGGGTGAGTTGCATTGGTGTGGTGTTAATATTGCACTGAATTTACCCACAATTGACCTTTTTAAGACTAGATTTGTGGGTAAAATCCATATCACTTGAGTTAACACAAGTTAACGTTCAAATATATCACAAGGAACGTGCACAACTAAAATTGGACCAGAATGTGAATAATTCCATAAATTCAACATTTCAACACAGAAACGCTATTACTGGCTCAGTATCTAATGAAAAACCTCCTAATCCCTATGATCTGAGAAGCTAAGTGGGAGCGCAAAAAATACATCAAAATACACTCAATGACTGAATTTGATGTATTGAGTATATTGCTGTATATTAAGGTAATTTATTTTGTATTTTGCTAGATTACAGTGATCTGTGGTTATGGTGATGGGGCCCTTAAATATTGTTGCCCTGGGTAAAGTGAAAAATTAAGAGGCACAGAAAGGCAAAAAAAGTTTAAATTAGTTAATGTCTTGTTTATGCCTGCAGCAGGTGGAAATAGGATGGAGAAAAACTGCTTCAAATTTTCTTGCTGCAGGGTCTGATATTTTCAATGGTAACTTAATCAAACTGAACCAATAATATAAATTGTTAGTGATGAGAAGAAAAAAAAACAGTGTTAAGGAATGTAAAGAGTCACAAACTTTAACAGTTTTAACATTGTTATGGAAACAAGTCATCAATAAATACATTCTGAAATCATATATGTAAACAACAACCTCAGTCCGCACAGGATCTTCTTTACGTTTTTATTCGACTGGACTGGGAGTTGTGGTCTGAGTCAGAGTATCCATTGCAGACATGATGGAGGATAAAAAGTGGTCTGTGGAGGACTGCCGAATATCAGACTGTCTCTCAATAAGCAGCAGGGTATCTCTTAAAACTGAAAAAAAGGACACAAAATACAAAGTATGCTCAGACAGTTATTAATTCAAGTTCTTGTTAAAAGGTAAATGGTGTGAAACTGACATGGAGAAATGCTGTTGATGCTGCTGAGGAGCTGATATCCAGTATGCAGAACACAGGAAGTTACTGACTGATGCCTGCTCACCTCTCTATGAAAGCTCTAATAACACATTGGAAAACCACAATGAGTTATGATTAGTACATTGTAAACAGTTGCTGGTCTTGGTCAAATTTGAGCAAACATGTTAATTAGCAAAAAGCTTTTAAAAGTACAGAAAAATATACATATATCAATATATCAGATATTCATTGTTTTGTGATTGAGTGCTGTTGGTTTTCGGTTTTCTTTTGGTGATCTTAAAGTTTGGTTCTTACCTGATACTCAGCCAGAGATGACTTGAGACTCTCTATGTCAACAGTTGGTGTAGCAAGCTGCTCAATCTTCTGTGATACTGCATACAGCTGCTGGATGAGCAGCTCCAGGTGTGAACAGAAAATCTGAGTATAAAAATGACATTTATCGTATATGATGATTAACATAATTGCTGTCAAATGCACTAGTATTGGTCATAACTTTAAGATGAATAAAAAATACATTGTTTCACTGTCAAATGGCAAACTTGAGAGCATGAGAAAGTTGGTTTTAGCCACCTGCTTATATTGTAACATTTCCCTAAAAAATATGAACCCATATAAGAGAGTGACTGGATCTAAGAAAATTGAGAAATTAAAAAACATTATGCAGATTTCTCTTTTGTGACTTGTATTCAAATACAGAAAGCAGAATGATTGGCAGTTCTCTATATCCAATTACAACTCAAATACAGAAAGGATAGATTTCAGAGTATTTCAGTATGAAATAGCAAATGAAAATGACAATTCAATTATGTACAAATGTATTGTCTGGTTTTGTCATCTGAGACATTTTCCCATAAACAAACCCGTCAGAGTTGCGTTTCCTTAGGTCTGTTCCAAGAACTTAATTATCCATCTAGCATAAAAAAGGCGTTTAGAAATGTTTTAATCTGAAAACAGCCTCTGCCTTACACTGCCCATGTTCTAGTAAGAGGATTGCAATTAGAGTTGCTAGATTTTAATGGAGCTGTAGTGCACAGTTAAAACAGAACTAGTATCTTCACAGAATTTTTGGAATGTTGTACTGACTCAGCTGAATCAAAGGCCTGACTTTGAATCTACCTGAATGTTTTGCATCAGAGTGCAGCTGTTGCTCTGATCCCTCCGGTTGTTGCTCTGGCTGTCAGACAAGGTATGGCCACACAGCTTCTGCATCAAATTCTCCACCTCTCTAACACTGGACTGACTCGGGCCCCCTTCACTAGGTTCTAACCCCGTAGCAAAACTTGTCCTTTGTGTCGCTGATATCCCACAGGCACCTGCTTTTGAACAAATAACACAACAACATTATTAAAGGTGAAACACACTATTACAGTTAAGGCAAAACCTTTAACAGTAAATACCTATTTGACCAGCACTCTTCTGCTCCTCCTTATTTCCTACAGATGCATCTTGTTTGTCTATACATGGCTCTTTGATTTCATCTGTGTCCTCCTCTTCGACTCCCTGTATCCTCAGCAAGTTGATAGTAGATAGAAATGGAGTTGTATTGCTGTCAAGAGACCTGGTGCTGGTTTTCCCAGGCTGGCTCAGCTTGACGGTAATCTCCTTTACCTGAACAAAGGGACCAGATACAATTGCTATGTTGCCCTAGCCATTTAGTTAAAAAAAAAATCACTGGCCATTTCCATTAGTTCTCCTTCAGTTTCCATTGTAGGTAGTTACACCTATATCTCCAAAAAGAAAACCTCAATTCTATGTCTATCTTTGCATCCAGACTGTTTGGTAGAAGTCACGCACACCCTTTCATGACTAGCCTTTGAAACTGGACTACATCCCTCTGATCACCACTTCTTTCCACCATGGAAGTTTCTTAGGAAACTCATATCCTTCAAGGTTTGCTGTAAAATGCTTGAAATTTACGACCAGTCTGTGGTGAGAAACATCATCTATTGTGCTGTGGCCTTTAGGGGGCCAGCAACACATAAAGAGATACTATCAGATTGAATAAACATATCTATCAATGTGCAGCAATATCAATAACCAGTTACGGTTCATCTGTTTTAGAAGATTTCATGTGAAAGTATTTTCTGTTAATAGGATTAAAAACACTGGTTGTATATAGTGATTTATGTGAAACAAAAAAACAACCTGAAAATAAAAAAACCCCACCCGGATTAGAATGTGCTTTTCACTTAATAATGACATTAACTCATTGACTGCCAGCCATTTTCAGAACAGAGTCCCATACTCCCAGAGTTTTTTGAGAATTTTGACTGATTTTTCAAGAGCCACAGAATAGTTTGTGCTATGACTATGTAAACACCGAACACACTAAAAGAAGGAGTAGACTCTCTTCTTTCATCAGGAAAAGAAAATTGTTTCTACCTTATTCCGTTCTTCCTCGACTTGCGTTGCATAGCGAACCATTAAGTTTTTCTTATTTGCCTACAATCTATGCTCATCTACCATCAAAAGTGGCACTGCCACCTAGAGGGTCAATTAGTTAGTACATATTCTGTCTAGAAGAAGCCGACATTTACGGAAAAGCTTTAGCCGATCGTCCCCAAGCCACTCGCATTGAAAAACATAAAAGACATCTATAGACATCTTTGGCAGTCAACGGTTGTATTTGAATTGACGTCTATAGACATCTTTGGCAGCCAATGAGTTAATGTGTGATTGGCAAAAGTCCAGCAAAAGTCCACAGAACTGACCTGTCTAAAAAGCTGTTGCATGACTTCAAACTTCTGTGGAAGAGGCCTGAAGTCCTCATCCAACTCACCACAAACATACTCGGACTGTGGTCGAATCTTGGTGGAGTGGAAAAAAGATGAGGGAGAAGACTCCTTATGGTGCTGACAATGGAACCCATCACTCTGATAATGATTTGTTCCACTAATTTTATTGATACCATCCAAACTGTCCAAGAACAAACCCCCGTGATCAGTAAGGGAGATTGGGGTTCTGGAGAATCGACCATCTGAGGAGGTTTCGAAACTCTGAAAGTCAGACGACTTGCAATCTGCACTTTGAGTATTTCTTCCTCCGTTTGTTTCTTGGGCGTGCACATTTCTGCTTAGAGAAGAGTCTAACCCCAAGAGACTGGTTGAGCTGCAAAGTTTGTCAAGTTCGATTCCTGAGTCCTGTAGAATAGGATCTGTTCTGAGAGGAGAGTCTCCCAGCAATTCAGAGCTGTCCCACTCACTTTCAACATATTCTGGTCTCAGTGGATAGGTGTAGTCCAGCAGGGCCTGGTATTCTTTGTTTGGATTCCAGTCTAGAGAGTGCCTATCTGGAGATGGGGGCAAAGACTTTGGAAGGGTGCAGGTCCAGTAGTTTGACTGGTAGGAAGACATAGAGTCTCCTTTTGATGGTATACCTTCATAATTTAGCATGGGGTTTTTCCAACTACTGTCTTTTCTCTTCAAAAGACTAAACTGAGAATGGCTGGGTCGAGAATGCCCTGAGCGAGGAGTGCAGGTTGGATTTAAGACTTTGGAAGTCAATTGTGGCCTCAAAGGGAGATTGAGTGTTTGGACCTGAAGAATGGAACTAGCAGGGCTCCGTTGACCACATCTGCGACCATTGCAAGATGGTCGTAAAGAAAGTTCTTTACTCAAAGACTGCGTGTTAAGCCCTGAGACGCTCAAAGGCGATGATGGAGAAGTTGAGATGTCACCGTAAGAGAGACTACAGCTCTCTGGATTTAGCGAATCTTCTGGCTTTGTTTGATATTTCATGTGTTTTCTTCTGCTCATAAACATCGGTTTTTCCTAACAGGCAAAATGAAGAAAACACAGTTTTGAAATAACTTCCTGTGGGATTTATACTTAAAAATCATCAACAATGAGTACTTAGTAGTGAGTTACACATTGCATGCAAGTTCCTACCATAAGTCAATCTATGGAGCATTAACAAAATTGAGTTTCACAATGTCAGTGTAAGAATATAAGCATTTAAAACAATAGGCAAATTTCCAACAATTCAACTTCTACACTTCAAAACATACACTAAAATAAACATCACATTTAAATATCCGTAAGTGTGTAGGAAAGAAAACCTACTTGTTCTACTACCACAGTAATTGGAATTATTGTCTACAATCTACAAATTTAAAAATAACACATTCAATGAAACATGATGGTCACTAACAAAACACATAATTTGTAACAAACACAACAAACTACTTCCATGTGTGTGCCAAAAGCTCCATAGGTTATTTAGTTATTTATGTTTTTAGATCAGATTACTGAAAATTCTAACTATTCTTCAGGAGGGGGAGTCAACATTATTCATTTTGAGACACTCTTTCTAGAATTGCTGTTTAAAACCATGTTACCATGTTGGTAGCTTATATTTCTACTTGACAGATCACATTAACTAGCTGACAATATACTTTTACAATTCATTTAAAAAAAAGACTTTAGATTTTTTTATTTTTTTTTCATTAATTTACATCAATAGTAATGTAGTATAAAATTGAAAAAAAAAAACTGTATTCATCCCTTAGTGGGGGAAAAGTCAGATTGCGTATTAATGATTTAATATTTGAGTTCTGTGGAAAACTGTTAGATATCACTGTTAAAAAAGAACTTTATGGCTGTTAGAGGAGAGGACCTCCTGAACTTTCTATGAAAGCAACATATTAAATTGTAATCACATTTACATATTTAAACATGTGGTGGAATGGTTGATAATTAACAGCAAGAATTGCATTTCTTTTCATCCTCCTCACCTTCTCCATGAGACTCTGTTGATGTTTCATCTTTAAAATAGACATATTTCGATCCGTAGTGAATAGTGGCTCTCTGATCGCATAGTGTCTGTCTGTCAGATTCCGCGTGGTTGTTGCCATAGTGCCATTACTGCATGGCTGTTCAACACCTTTTTCCAATTTTTTTCTCCTTTATAATCTTCTGTTGATGGACTTCAGATTCTGTTGCTGCCAGATGCATACCATCCATTTGACAAGAAAAATAGAAGCGCCCTAGAGAAGTACATCAGTGGTTAGTGACACACAAACAGCTATACTTTTATGATATCAATTAATAAAAGGTTTAATCATTCAACCTTGCACAGGGGTAGCAGAGAATCCTGTCCAGAGCCAACAATTCAGCAAACGTGACTTTGTTGTATTGAGACATGGAACAAAATAAGAAAGTACATAGTGGAAAAACAATAATAATTTTCAAAATTCTCTCAAAAATATGCAGGATCAACTGCAGAACATGCACCTTTAAGACTGTTCAGTGAGTGGAACCTCTATCTGTTGTTGTGGAATCACTCAGCAGCATAACTTGTCAGCATGGATCCAGGTAATGTAAAGCGTAGCATCTCACCTGACCTACCACATTAAAACTGCATGTTCAGACCTGTCTGAGCTCACATCAACAAACCAGAAGTCTGTATATCCAATGTATCTTGAAGAGCAGCGGCGGGTTGCTTGGATCCATGGAATCCCGATTTCAAACATCTAAAGAAACTCAACTTCGGCAGTTTATATGTGCTCATGCCTTGTTGTGCAAATATTAAAGAAATGAATAAAATCTACATTTCCATGCATAGGTACTTCAAATGTTTTCAGAACATTGATTAAAAATCTACCAAGAAGAGGTGTTTTACAGTTAGACTGAGTAGAACATTTTGGACAGCTAAACATTCAGTGCCCCCCCCAAAAATCAGAATTTCAGTCATTTAGTTTCAATGCATCACACAGTATTATAGCAAAACTATTTTATACTCTTACAGCACATTGGCTTTTGCTACATCCGTCTCTAAAAAGCTCACAGCCCGTAAAACAACGTAGACGAGAGCGTATGTCTGCAGAGAGAATTCGAAACCTTACGATAACCGTAACGAGGCAACAAAGTGGAGTGAATTATAGATACACCCGTCTTACTGTCGTCCTTCTTTATCGTGTTCTCCTGGCCACAACGCCCGAAACGCTCGTGTTACTCAACCCAACGACTAAGACCGACAAACAAAAGTAAACCTCAGAAAACCAGGAGCATAAACACATTTAAATGCTAAAATGTGTCTTTCCAGTGCTGGTTTTGACAATGAATGCAACACGTTATTCATTTACTGTAATTTAAGCGAATGCGTCCCACCCCAAAAAAAATAAAATAATAAATAGCCTACGTCTCGTTAATTAGCGTGACATTTGTTAAGTCAACGATGAACTTTCACTGATATTCGTAATCCCTCTACTTAACAAAGTAACATTTATAGTATATAGGAATAGTAGGCCCACGCTTTCCACTTCCCCTATGGCGGCCGGTATGGTCAAGCGAGTCAAAACATCCTCTTCAACATTCACGCTGTCGAAGATGAATTATATTAGTCTAATAAATACTGCTTCAAACTATTCCAAAATCACTAATTGTAGTCTAGACCCATGGGTTACAATAACTAGACAAAACCAATGGATATTTAGCCTACCTCGTTTAGCGGAAGAGATGAGCACAGAGTGCCCAGCTGCGTGGCGCTGTGCTGTCAACTGAGCTTGTTAATGGTGCCGTCTCCATTATTTTCCCCAGTCCTTTCAGAACAATGTTTTGCCATTTACTATCTTCAATCAAGGCGGGGTCTGTTTTGTTTGAACACACGTCTTCCTTGAGACTATATCAGTTATATTTGACTGAATTTGTGACATGTACAGTTTTTGTGAAATGAACCAATCCATTATCGATAGCCTAAAGACCCTAATGTGTGCCGTAAACTTTAGTGCATTGTTCTGAAATCTGAATAGCAAAGATATTTCTGTCTTTGGCAGAATGTGAAAGTATCATAAATGTAATTTGAATTTTTAACCAGGCAAGGGCTGTTGTGACCCTTTACTTCCACATAGCGATAGCCTACAAAAAAGTGTCTGAATAAAAGTGCAGTCATACTGTTTAAGCAAAAACAGTTACTTTAGTAACCATTATATCGTTTGCTTGATAGATATAAATACAATTACAAAGCTTTAAGGGAAATTGTGGCAATACAGATATGATTGGATGTGTATACATAACTTGGTACTTTTTTTTAAAAATAAGTCGAGCAACATAAACAACAACAAAAAAACTTAAACTTGCTTATCTGCATTTAAATCGTACCTTTTAAACATTACTGTAACTGTAGTTTTGTGGTGCAAAAGCAAAACAGTCAAGGGCAAGGCAAAAAGATGAAAATAAAAACGAGCAGAAACAATGAAAAAAGTAATTTAAACTAAAAGCAAGAAATAAAAGATTGAAGAGAAAAGATTAACTATACAAGCACAAAACATATATGAAAAGAAAGGTGACAAGTATATGTTACGAATTAAGAATATGCTCTATAAAAGAGGAAACTTTTAAGATTCAGTGTGTCATGCATCCAAGCAGTTATCTGGTTTTACTGGAGAGGATCTGGAAAAATGAGAGTTCTGCGTTCAAATATACTTGTATTCTAAGAGTGATATAATACAGAGCAAAGTGATATTTTGGGGTGGTAGCTAACAAAAACAACTTTCAAATTGGTAAAGGTTTGACCATTATCTGGCTGGTATGTTATGAAACGGATTTCAAATGGTTGTCAAGGTACCAAAAAAAGAAAACATGACCTTCTTCTGCAGTACTGAATAGTCCTCTGGTAATAGTTTTGGAGAAATTTGAAGATATTTAGGTATTATTAGCAAATAGAGTCAGCTAAAATGTCATTGCAGCCAAAGGTAATTTGGGAAAAACTATAAGAAGGCAGTTAAGGAGACCTGGACCCATTTATTGTGGACATACATTTTAAACTCCTCAAAATCCTCACAAATATATACTATTGGATAGTTTAATATTTTTGTCTCAGTTATTTAACTGGATTCCTTACATATCCATTGTTTGGACTGTTCTAGGTAATATTTATGCATAAATAAATACATTTGAAAGGGTTAGCAAAATTTCAAGGACCACTGTGCATCATGGGATAAACTTGTTTATACAGGCAAAGCTTGACTGATGATGAGACAAATGTCACTTTCTGAACTGAATGGGCATTTAGGCAGAAAAACAAGGTGTTATGAGATAAGAATAGGGTATATTGTGTGACACGTAACAAAAAACAACAGGTTTAGTGTTATGTACATGATCCTGTACTGAGATTGAAAAAAACATTTCTGTTCAAGTTACTTCTGTGCAAAATTATTAAAGGTAAAATACTTAAATAATAAATCATTTTAGCTGTAAATACTCAATAATAACACATCCAGGATCTGTATATAGGACCACATCCACATTTATTGATCTGAACACTTATATAGTTTACACAAGCTTACTCAGCTAAAAACAATACTTGGCAAAACTTGCCTTTGAACTTCACATTCTGAGGTGTTTTTCCATCAGACATTTAGTTACTTGAAAAAAATGCGCTTTACAGTAAACCTAAATGCCATTTTGGCCAACTGTCTTCAAAAGTGTCTTTTTTTCGCCCCCAATGGGATAATTATTCCAACTGTGTGTTTGTAACTGGAGTATTTATGCGGTGCAGCTTCACTCACATTACCTATCTAAAACCCTCTCTACAGCAAATCAAAATGAGCAGAATGTTACAAAGTGCCACAAAGTATAACTCAGGAACTCACAATTTAATGTGGCACAGTTAGGAATTAAAAGTCAACACAACGCCCCTTTCTCTCCCAGTCTCCATAGCGGGTAGGCTCTGGCCCTCGAGGACCTCCTTTCTCCTTGGTAACAGGGTTGACATCGTCAGGGAACTCTGAAGGAAAACAGTCATTATTTTCATTCAAACTTGCACACTGTTTTTAATTTTATGAAGCAAAAGTTTTCAGGTCATCACCTCCAACAATTAAGACAGCGACTGTCAAGCAATTCCACCAAACTCAATGTCAGTTTTCAGGAGCTTTCAAACTTGTTGCACTCATTCTTGGCAAACAAGTCAAAAATCTGTCGCACAGTGTAAACTGAAAACAAGATACTGATTCTAAGGAAACAGGTTTTGTTCCGAAATCTCCGCAGCTGTTATTTGATTTTGTTGACCATAGTAGCAGATGATAGAGGCTAATTTGACTTAATATACTACTGGTTCTTGGCACATCCTGTGGTCACCAAGTTAATGATTGAATAAAACAAATTACACTCTTTTCTTCCTAAATACTGTGTTGAATAATTACTTAACTGACCGTATGACATTAAAGTGTGATAAAAACACAAAACATCAAGAGAAAACCCACTCAAGCTTGAAGAGAAACAAAACCCCAAAACACAAGAGCTTCTATCTGCAGTGATAAAGAGTCTCAAAATCTTGAAATATTACAAATACTTAACTTTGAAAATCCCTTGTACCGAACAAGCTGTGGTTAATGTTTTAATGTTTCTATGTGATTTATTGTGGGAGGTCCTAATGCTTGAAGATAGCCATAACATCAAGGTTGGTAGGTCATGGAGAAATGGGACATGTCACCTGCCATTGACAGTGTCCATTTGTGAACCCTAACCCTAACCTTAACCCTAACCCAAAAGAAAAGCTGATGTAACGTGAGGGTTCGAATAAATGGTGTCTGGATCACTCTCCAGAAGGAGAAACGAAAGGATGGAGACTGGTGAACTTTTCGACCACGCTTTATTCTGTCTAATTCCAACTTCTCGAACACACCCACTTCCTTGTTTTTGTCACATGACTAAAAACGAACCTATGAGAATCTAACTTAAAGAAAAGCAGATATAACTAAATATCTTAAAGGCGTAGTCGTGAAATTAAATAAAATATAACTATATGAACTACCAAATTAAATTAATGAATTGAACTTTACACTGAGAACAACGGCTGTTCGTTGCACGCACAAAAAAAAACAACAACATAAAAATACATAAGCTAAGAAACACAAGCGTCTTTCTCACTTTGTAGAACATCTTTGGTTTTCTCTTCGGTGATATCAAACCGCCCTTGAGGTGTTTTTGCCTTTTTCAGGGGCTCCTTGTCTGCCACCCCGCCGCTGGCGTTCCGCAAACACCCTGAACACAAATACAAATAAAAATAAAAAACGACAACGGAGTTCACAGCACAATAATTTGTATCTGCTGTCACCACACAGACATAAGAAAGTCTTTCATAATGTTACATCAGGGCATCACACGCTGATGATAAGGCAAACACTAACCTGTCAAGACCGATTCCGCCGCTATTCTTTCGGAAACTAAGTATCTCCCTTTGAGGCCACACAACCGCAGGAATGACATGTTCACCGGTAACAACAAAGTAGTATTGAATGAAGACGTAAAATTTCCGTCAGTGTGTCTCTCGGACACTTACACAACTATGCTGTTTAGAGCTTCACGCCGCGACTTACGTCATCAGTGCGCGACAATAAGGTATCTGCTCTACAGAGTGCTGTATTTGTTTAGCCCCATTAGATGGCAATATAGCCTCAAAAACAATTTAGCTCTGGATAGTTTTTTTAGCGTGGTTCTAACCCTGTGAATATGAACTAACATAAGACGAACATAAGGCGTAATTTTGATCTTTCAAATATTTTTATTAATAACATACAGAAAAAGACAATACTACAACTTTTTAGCCAGGGGTAGCATCAGTGGCGGCTGGTGAAAAAAAATCTTGGTGGGGCTGGTGTGCCAATATATTTCCCTGCCTAACCCAGTACATGCATTGAAGTTAAAAGTCGTAAAATTAGTACAATTCCACAATAATGATTTAATTACCTTATCAGAATCAGCAGTTTACATATACATTTAACCATTTGAAGCTATATTAGGTATTATTTTGGAAGGGAACAGTATGAAATACAACACTCAATTTTACTATTTTTCACCAAACACACAAAGTAGGCACACAGGTGGTTAGCTTAACACAGTTAGCTTAACACAGTTTTCCATATAACCTCGTGATATTTCATGTTTCTTAGTTGTTCAGAGAGGTGTTTTAAGTCTGTCTGTCCAGACTGTGTCCACGTCAAATCACTCCAGTCACTTTTAAAAGGAATGCGGGAAAAACATAAAAGTGCATTGGCCGTCCCACCGGCTGTCAGCCAGGGCTTAGGCTGGAACCAACTCCTGTTAAAGTGCCGGCTGTGGGACTTAGCTTTTTCATTGGTTCGCTTCGTTAAATTTATTTCGGACTTGTCAGGTCCCAGCTTCTTTACGTTTAATTTTTTACCATTGTCCTTCTCACGAAAGGAGAACTCAGTAAAGATCTCACTGTGAAAGCTGCTCTACAACTGTCGCCGTCGCCGTAATCTCTACGTCACTGCCTGACTGACCAATAGCTACACGTCTATGGCTTTGGGGCGCCAGCTCCAAGCGCCCCAAAGCCAATAATTTCGGCGATGCTGATTGGCCAAATATTTATTAATTTTCCCTAGCAACATTTTTCAATTGGTTATTTCGCTGCACTTCTGGGGCGCTGGGGCTAGCGCCCCAGAAGAGAGACGATACGTTCTGTGGGTGGAAATGCACCGTTGAATGAAAGTCAGTTGGTGGAAGAGTTGTTTTAATAATTCATATTACATGTAGCCACATATTATTAACTAAAACTGACATTGATAATACTTTAAAAATAAATATATATATTATAACTTTCCCCCTCCACATCTAGGGGGGGCGGCGCCCCAGCGCCCCCTATGGGCCGGCCGCCACTGGGTAGCATCATTCTAAAAAAAATATATATATATGGCAGTGGCCCCCCTAATATATATATATATATATATATATATATATATCTTTCCTATTAAATATAAAAACAATGTCCAAACAAGATTTTTTTCCAATGCATTTTGGTTATCTAGTCCTTGAATATTGTTGCAGTAGTAATATATCACCTGCAAACCATTTTTGTTTAGCAATATGGAATTTTCCCAGTAACAAGAAAAGCTTCCATTCAACTGCTTAAAGCAGCTGGTTTTATTTTTTATATAATAATGTATATTCAACCAAAACATTCATGCGTATAGGCAGTATCCATGTCCTGAGCACACCTTTGGCTGTTGTCAATGTTGCAAAGATTGTGGACATATATTGTACATTACGTTAATATGATATTTTTAGATAACGTCAATTAAAAATGTAAACACGTATTATAATGTGATAATCTAAGTGAACCTGTTGTGAATGAGGATGCTAATAGACTGGGATTAATTAAGAGACTGGGATTTAAAAAATAAAATAAAATCTAATGTTCTGAAATTAAGTGTGTTACGCTTTTTTATGCAACTTCTCCAGCTGTAGAAAACATCCACTCACATGCTATGGAGTGCACAGAAATATTAAAGAAAGACGAAAGAAGTGTCTCATAAGATTCTGGGACCTGGTAATACTACCAGGTGTCTCTGCACCTCCTGGATAACATCACCCATGGCAGTATTGGTCTGCCTGCCCACTTTAATGTTGAAATGTTATCAAAGGTTATCCAAAAACAAAAACAAATTGGCATTTTAGTAAATGATTTACAAACAACAAACAAATAATGCTGAGTAACATGTGAGAATTGAGTTTAGGCAGTTGTTGTGAAGATTGTCCCGGATGAGGCTAATCTATGTGCCCGTTTACAGACACACACACTGACTGCACTCTACTGATGGCCTCATTGCATTTGGAGGAACTGCAGAACCCAAGTGATTTTAATCTCGGGTCTAGAAGTGTAACACACTTACTGACTCCAGATAGGAATTGTCTGTGACTCGACGCTTCAGGTGTTCATGTCAGTCTATGGCTGCCTGCATGTGCAAGGTTGAAGCATTACACTGCAGTGCAAGATAGGGCATCTTCTTCATTGGGATGACCTTTGACCCTGACACTCACCTCTCCAGACAACTCCACTGTAGCTTGATGGAAAGGAGCAAGCACAAGAAGTGTTTCTCCTATGACGGTATGTTCATCAGCTATATGTAAGTGGAGTCAAATCTGTTTTTTAGAGTAGCCAGTGAAACCCACACTGGTTCCCTCTAATCACATGTAGTCATGACAGCATTTCACATGTGCTATTCCACGTGTTGGCACCTCACTGATAAGGTTCAGGGTTTGTCTTCCCATCTGTTGCTGCATTTGAGCAAGCTTCTCCTTGGCTGCAGTGCTTGATCTGATGTGACAATGTGACTGGCTTTGTGTCTAATGGATGCAAGTGTTGATCTGAAGATTTCCTAACTACTAAATTGAGACTATGTGCTGAGGTTCTGCATCGGTCAGAAGACACTTTATTGGATATGGTTCAGTCCTCCATCATGTCTCTTTTTGACCTGGGCCAATTTGTCAGCAGTGTGACTTTGTGGGAAGTATTGCACTCCCAGAACTACAAATTCTCATTAATTTAGTGACAAGTAAGAGCCAAAGTAAGCCTCCATATTCACATATGTCCACATGCCAGATGTTATACTCTCTGCAACAGCTTGCTGTACTTCCATTTTCACTCGGTGTTGCTCCTCCTCGTATGTTTTCCAAGTCAAACCAAATGTCTACTAGAAGGAGAGGAGTTGTAGGTTGTTGACTCCTACAAATACCTCGGGCTATGGCTTGACATCAAACTGGACTGGTCAAAACACAACAGACACCTGTACGGGAAGACACAGCAGGTACTTCCTAAAGAGACTGCAGTCCTTTAACATTTGCAGCAAACTACTGGGGACGTTTTTATCAGTCTGTCGTGGCCAGCGGGGAGGGCAGCAAATCCACGAAGGACACGTCCAGACTGTATTATCAATACCATAATGCCAAACTCTCCATCATAATTCTAAATATTGATCCGCAAATTTATGTCACTAGTCACTTTCATGTCTATGATTTGTTAGGAGTTGTATTCATTTTGGTATTTTTTCTTTTAGTATTATATTTCAATTAGTTATGGTTGGTTTGAGAATATATTTTATACTTTGTACCAAATTGTACAATTCTGTATTCAATTTTGTAATTTAGCCTTCTCTTTTTCTGTCCTATTTTATGCTCTTGGAACTTGAATTCCCCTGAAGTAGTCATCCCAAGGGATGAATAAAGTCAAGTCAAAGTCTACTAGTGGGAAACTGGGAAGAGCTCTGGCACACCTAAATCCACAACTGACGTAGAGGACAAGTTTCTGAGAGCCAAAAGCCTGTATCAGGTGGCTCACAGGACAACAGCCTCAAGCACAACTTAGTAGTGGTCGTAGCAAGCAAGTCTCAGTTTCAACTGGGAAGCAAAGACTTTGAGCTTCAGGTTTGAGTTGCAACATAAAAGCCAGTGCTAAAATGCCAGAATACATGAAAAAGGCTTGCTTGGGCCATGAAACACTGCCATTGAACTACTGCAGTCTTGGACTGATAAATAAAAAATAGAAATACAGTAGAACCTCTACTTACGATTGCCTAAACATACGAATTTTCCAACATCTGAAGTTAAATTTGATAAAATATTTTGACTCGGCACCCAAAGTAAATTTCCAACATGATGTTGAAGTCATAGAAAAAAATAGAAAATATAGAAAAATGAATTAGCAAAGTTAGTGTTAAGTTCACGTAGTGAAAGTTAGAGTAAGTTATGGTATGTACTATATCTTAGTCACCACCTCTACCTCCAAACCAACCGTCTCCTCCGTCTCCTGCATCGCTAAGCCTACACCTCCGTTCACCAGTCTCTAAGGTAAAGTGCCAATAAAAACCCTTTTTATTTAATATTTCTTTATAATTAATTTATTTTTACATCTCTCTTATATAATGCATTTGTTTTATTGCTATGTGTAATGATCTGCAGTATTTATTATGGAGTTATTGTTGGTTTTTAGGCTGTAGAGTTACAAATTACAGTGTATTCTTATGGGAACATTTAAACCAACATACGAATATTGTAACATACGAAGTAGGTCCCGGAACGAATTAAATTCATATGTAGAGGTTCTACTGTATTCGGTTTGCCACCCAGGATCTTTGTTTGCTTTGAAGTTGGTGAAAGGATGTTTACACAGTGTGTGAAATCAAGAATAAAACATGAAGGAGGAAGTATGATGGTATGGGGTTATTTTGCGAGAGTCACCCTAAACCAAAATTACCAATGCATTATCCATAATCCATCTGATTCGCATCTAGTTGGTCAGGGATTCATCCTACAGCAAGATAAATGTCCCAAAACATAAGTCCAAGCTGCGCAAAAACTGTCTTAAGAAAAAAAAGGACTGGATGGTAAGCTAGAAAATACAGTGGCCAGTATGGTTTCCAGACTTGAAGAACAATGAGGAGGTTTGGGATGAACTGCACATAAGAGTGAGAGAGGGACTCCTGCAACAGATTTGGGAAGATGTTTCTGAATAATATTTTATTTATATATTAGAAAGAATGCAATTAGTTTGTTCAGCTGTTAAATCTGCCATGGCTGGCTACTTTGATAATTCAAATGTTCATGAT